AATACACTATGTTCATTATATATACTAAGTTCATTATTTGGTATTCCAACTTCATAAATGTTCTTGGGACATCTCGTGGCAAAATGGTTCTTTACTTTGCATTTCGCACACATCTTTCCGAAAGCTGGACAGTTCCAATATTTGTGCCTTCTTCCGCACTTCTTGCAGTTGTATTCTAGTGCTGATTGCTTCTGCTGCGACGACAATTTCGTTGGCACTGACTGTTTTGATTGATGTTGCTGTTTTCTGTATTTCTTCACGCTGTTCATTGTCGCTGGATCATCTTTCATGTTCCGGAGTTGCTCTTTGCTTGTTTCAGCGGCACGGACTATTTCTATAGCTTTTTCTAATCCTAGGTTAGATTCTCGAAGCAAACATTCGGTCAGACTCCTATCCCGAATGCCTAATACAATACGGTTGCAAATCAATCCATTTTCTTGTTTAGCAAACTCACAAGTTGACGCTAAAGTCTTTAACTGACATTCAATAGTTTGTCCTTCTTGCTGGCTACACGAAAAGAATTTGTAGCGTTCATATGCGACATTCTGCCGTGGTGAACAATATTCTTCAAAAGACTTCAAGACCTCTTCGTACTTCTCCTTATTCTCAGGTGGCTCAAATCAAAACATATTATAAATTTCAAGTATTTCAGTATCGAGTAAATTCAAAAGGATTGCAATTTTAGTCTTATCTGGCTTGGCGTCTTTTTCGGTGGCAAGTATATAGTTTTCTAGCTCTTCTTCCATTTTTTCCATTTTTCTTTAACATTTCCGACGGAAAATGTTAGCGGAGCAGGTGGTCTGAAATCCATTTTGCTCCTGACACCATGTAACTTCTTGTTTACTTTGTTAAACTTAATAACTTCTGTACTTTAAAAGTAGACTCAACTAATGAGTATATCTCAAGAATTCAAAATTTTTATTATTACATTTTTAAACAGTTCACATGACATTCAGCTAGCACAGTAACACGTGCATCACAACAACGGAATCGCGTAGCATGAGCGCCATTACAGTTATAGTTATAGTTATTTACAGTTACAGTTATAGTTATTTTAAATATACATCACACCTTGTTTGGAATATTATCCTGCATTTCATTTAAACATACTGAATTAATAGTTAACAGATTTTTAATTAAATATACTTTGTCAATAGCGCATAAACCACAATAGAATAAATGCACTCCTTAAAGTTCACTATATTTATTTACTGTAGTGACACTTTGGTGCTAAGTTCACTTAACAGCATTACATCTCATTCATTTTATAACTCAGAGTGCCAAAAAATTATATCACCTGGAGAATTACTGCATGCTCTATTCAAATATTATAATAAATCTAAAACAATGTATAAAAGAAATTAAACAAATAAAAAAGAAACAGTTTTTCGCAGATGATTCAGTGCCGCTTACCTAAAGTGCATGCACTACTAATTAATTCAGTTCACACTTCGCGACAAGGCAAAAATACATGAAAATTCAAAATATTTTCATAAAAAATTGAAAAATGTAGGAATACATAAACACCAAGTACAATTAAAACAATTTAAAAAAATTTTTTAGTTTTAATTATAATTTTTTTTTTTTTTTTTTTTTTTTTTTTTTTTTTTTTTTTTTTTTTTTTACAGTTTGTATGCAAAAACAAGCCAATAACTTAAATGATAATTCCAGAATTAATTAAGCATAATTTAATTCACAATAACAAAGGAAGACATTACTTTTGTTGGGAAGCTTAGTTTCTCTAGATTAGCAACAAATCCACTATTTTGCTAAGTTTCAAATGTAAACAAATATGGCTGCAATGGTAACCAAAAATTAGGCTTAGCTGCGCTTAAAAAACTTTTAAACTGTTAATAATTCCGCAATTATTGCATGCAAGTTAACTAAAGACATAAAAACCTTAACTGGAAGAAAATAACAACACAATTCAATCTTTTGTGAAGCAAAAATTGCACAATTTACAAACATATTAGAATAAAGAAACTGAGCTCACTAAGCCGAGTAACAGAGTGTATATATATGTGATGTACCAGCTTTTGTTGTAACTCAAATTATCAGACGATAAGTTTAAAAAACAGGATCCATTTATTATTGTTCAGGAGAAATAGCAGTTACAAAATCATATTTCCGGAGTAAATAAAAAAGAATTACTAATAACTTTTTGTATGAAGTTTACTGCATCGTTATATTTAAGAAAAATCTTCCGATATTCCTTTGCAAGTCCTTTTATAACCTCTGTATTATGTAATGTAAGGCGGAGCTTCCAAGAAATGACGTCAGCCAATCCAGTTTGCTTTAAATACTTCCAGAACATTCTATAACTGTACGTGTGCGAAAGGCGGGAAAAACAACTTGACTACGGGGCTGTGGATTTAATTCCACGTACTTTCAAATAAGAGAATGTCGCCATTACAAATGAAAAGAACATACAGGTAGAATTTTGAGTGTATTCTTGATTATGGAATTTTATTATTACATATATATATAACTCTACGATCATTCACATATGCATTTTTTAAAAAAATTGTTTAATTTAATTTTAATTTATTAAATTAGTAGATTTGTTTTCATGGATAGATTTTGCACTTGATTTGCTTATGATTCTGAATTTAAATGATATTGTAGATTAGTTCGAGAATTAAATCTTTTACATGTTTTCATATTTTTAAATTATTTTAAATTATTTTGGTTTTTTTCAATTTGCTTTTTTACTTTTTTACTTTTATACGTATTTGTTAAGAATTTAAATTTGTTTAAATTTAAATTTCATTCCTTGCAGCAATGGCGCAAAGAATATTTAATTAAATATGAATTTAAATTTAATTTTTTAATTAAACTCAATTTATTCTTATGAAACAAATATATATACATACATATATTTATATACTTTTGGTGCAGCCAACTGCAACCAAAATGGGAGGTACACATCTATGTGTAATAGCAGTCTTATAAACAAAATTTCAACACTTTGAGGCTACTCGTTTTTGAGTTATGCAAGATACGTATGTACAGACGCCATGAAAAAATCTCTTCAGAATCATTTTAAATCAATTTTATAATTTTTTTTGGGGGGAGAAGGGTCCTTTACATACAGATGTCACGCAGAAACATTGTTAAATTGCATTCGATAGCAGTCAAAATGGATATTTCCGTTGAAATATGATGCCTGAAATTTTTCAAGATTACAACACTTCCTTTTTACTTCCTTGTATGAATTTTAATCAAGAAACTATTAGTGACTGAAATTATAAGCAAAACTACAGATTTTCGTGATAATTGAAATCTTTAATCTATTATTAACGAACTGTGATATCATAACAAAAATAAAAGATCCAAGTTTAGAAACATTAATAAATGTTTATTGAATGTAGAAGCAGGTGAGGAAAAGTGTTGCATAAATGCTTAATTGAAGCACCATAGGAGTGGCACAAATTTCTTACCTGTTCTGGAATGTTTCCCACCATAAGTAGTGTACAGTCAAAAGTCGTTAATTCGAACACCCATAATCCGGACCTCAAAGCTAAAAACTTTCTGCGCATGCGTCTCGTTGACACATGCGCATAGGCATTTACGCGTGCATGTAAGACCTCTTACGACTGTGCATTTGCGTGTGCGCAAGCGCAGAATACGTTTTCGCGTGCGCGTTTTATGTATTACGAATGGTATAAGCTAAAATTATCTAATTATCTATTTCAGTTAATGTTGATGATTGCATTGTTCCTGAATTTTCGAATTGGATCCGGCTTATTATTTTTTGCAGACTGTAAGAGCAATACTATAAAAGTAAACTTGAACTTTCGATTATGTCAAATAGAATTTCCGAATCTGGAGCTCCCAAAGGATCGTACAAAACGAAAGTATGTTTCGATGTCCATCAAACAAAAAGTGGAATTGCTGCAAAAAATGGATAAAGACATGAAGAATGTGACAGAGAGGTTAGTGAAAACGAAAAAATTTCGATTGACAAGTTAGTCGGTATTCTCGGCACAGCAATTAACGGGGCTTGAACAGCAGAACTTTGTAACTGAACAAAAAATTATGTCTGTTTATAGAATTAAAGAGAAAGTATTATCACATAAAACGAAGCAACTTAAACAATTTACATTGAAAGAAATGTTTAATAAAGTAAACAAATAAATATGAAGCTTTTTTTTTTTTTTTTTTTTTTTTTTTTTTTTTTGTAAATTTTGATACTCTTTAGATCATAATTGTTCTTTATTTCATAAATTACAGTTTCATATTTTTAATTTTAGAATTTCTGCATGCCATCTTACGCGATTTAAACTGATGATCTATAATCCGGAAAAATCGATAATCCGGAATCGCCGAAGTCCCGACGAGTCCGGATTAACGACTTTTGACTGTATACTGCTATTTTCAGAATGTTAGGTTAATCTTTGTTCAGTGTAAGAAACTTTTAAGGTGGAAATTTTATGTAATAGCTATCATTTGTATTATGTTAACACAGGCATTAATTGCATTATTAAAGTAAGATTTTTTTTTAAATATTAATCTAGAACAATATTAATGAAAGCTAATTTTAAAATATTAATCTTCATTAATATTGTAACATATAGGAATTTTTAATGCTGGTCAGTTTTTTAATCATATTTATACTCCACAGTAAAGCGAACAAGAAGGTAGTGCTATCTGTCGGCAAAGATATTCATGAAATTGAAAAATTAAGTTAATAGAATTTTAAAAGGGGTTAGGAAGGACTGAATCAGACTTAAAGTTAGTAACTAAACAAGATAAGTCTTTGTGAATGTGAAAGGTTTACTAACTTAATTTTTCAATTTTGTTAATATTTTTGCCAATAGGTGACCCTACTTTTTTGTTTGCTTAACTGTGGAGTGTAAGTATGACTGTTGTGCCCACTGCTTTCCAGTCTTACAGATTTCTTTGCTCCTGATACAGAGACAGCTGTATCTGCTTGCTCTCAAAATCGATTGAGAGTGAAACTCAAGGTTGCTGTGTTACTAATTTTCTTTAATTTGCAGTTTCTCTTCTGTTTTCAAGTAAAAAGGAATATTTAATCCAGCTACAGCTGCAAGGCTCTTCTTCTATCATGCTTCAACTACAGGACTGAATTATTACATGAAGGGGATAAGACAAAAATGTATATGGAATGCATAAATGAGCATTAGTGAAAAATAGGCAAAACTATTATTTTGGATGTAAAATTTGAATTAAATTGTACATCTTTAATTAAATGTTATAAGTGCCCTAACTAATCTTCCTAGTCTGCCCTAACCTAGTCTAAGTAAAAGAAAAATTAATGTAAATGATATTGCACTAAGTGAATTTAAGATCACGCAACATATATATATATATATATATATATATATATATATGTAAATATAAAAAAGTAGGACAGCTTTGCTCTATGCAAACCAGCAACCTTTAATCAACTTTCTGCAATTTAGGATCTTTCCTCTAGACTAGTACTTTCGAGATCATTCCAACCTATTACGTAACCACTTCAATAAACAGAGAACTCACGCCATTTTGCACGTTAGAGAGATCACTTTCACTCTCTGCTACTAAAATCTGTGCTGCTGCCCTTCTTCCTTTTTTTGTTCGAATTATGACGCAGTGAAGTTAAATTTAATTTTTATTTAGTAAAGCATGATAAAATGCCTTTCAGTTGAAATTCTGTGTCATCATTTCTTCCAAGCTTCATTCATGTGACCAACTGCTAAAATTTTACAGCTTTATTAATTAGCCGGTAGGATTTATTCTGCATGGGAAAAGAACTCCTCTGGATTTATTTTTCTAAATTCATTGTCTACCACAAGCGGGTCAAGGACATCAAGTGACAGTCATCTGCGAATCTCCTTGTGCTTTGCTTTTCTTCGTCGGCTACGAAATGTGGTGCTTAAAATTTGAGATTTGTGCAAACTGATTAACGGTGCTTCATAAATGGAGACAAGAGCTAAAGCCTTGCTTCAACAAATATGCAAGTATCAGTAGCCACTATTGAAACAAAAAAATTTCAATTTGCTATTTTTGATGGATCTAAAAGTGATATTCTTGTGGATAATTACGTTCTGCTGTTTGAACAAAAATGCAACACAAAAAATATTCAAGATAAAGATAAACCATTAATTTTTAACCATTAATGCCTGAGAGGAGAAGCACTTGCATACTTCTTTCGTGAGTATTTAGACAAGGACTGGGAAGCAGTGAAAGAGAAATTCAGTACATATTTTCCAGTGCAGAGATATTTAATGACTTGTATCTGTCACATATGACAAATTTAATAATATTGTCATCTATTTTCGTAATAAATTAAGATATGGATCTAGTCTAAAACTGAATGATTCTACAATAGTTGAATGGATTGAGATCCAAAAGAATGGATTGAGATTGCTCGAAATCTTTTCCGAATTTCAGTGCCACTGGACGGAGTAGAAAGTGCAAGAAGTGAATACAAATTTCTTGCTCCGAGGCAAACAATACCTAGATATTCTGCTAGGCCATTTCAACCAAATCATTATAGGCCTTGGCCTTTTCAATATCTGTACAGGCTGCTTAGTTATCAACAAGTACCTTCTCGGTCTTTTCAATATCCATATAGGCCGCTTAATTATCAACCAGTAGCTTCTTTAAGTTATCATAACACAATGCCAAAAAATGAACAGAAAAGGTGATTATATTTTAATGTCCAAATTGGACAACAAAATGTACCAGCCATTGTAGACAATGGTTCCCAGGTAAACATTCTTCCTTACAATATTTTTAAGGGTATTGGTAAAAACTTTGAACAAATTGAAGATAAATTGAATAGCAAAATATCTTCTTTATTTAGTCAGATTCATGTAGAAAACATTATTAAAATATCATTTATAATAGGTAAACTCACTAATGATGTAATATTTTATGTGGTAAATTCTAATTTAAATTATTTATTATTATCTTCATCCTGCATTTCACTGTTCAAATTACAATTGAATTTTTATAATTATCAAGTTTATGAGTTTAGAAAAAGGTGAGTAAAAATGTTAATTTGATAAGTTTTTTTCAAAATAATTTTGTATGTAAAAATGATATCAATGCTAAACAACTTGGTAAATATTTAGAAAATGGTGAAAATTTTATATGTAAAAGTGATATTAGTACTAAAAAGTCTGGTAATTATTTTGAAAATAGTAAAAATTCTGACATTATATTACAAAAACTGTTGAATAGTTATAATCATATATTTGCTAAAAGTAAATATGATGTTGGTTGTATAAAGATTGAACCACCCCCCCCCCAGAGTTGTATTAACTTCTGAATTACCAATAGCCTATAGACCATATCGAGCATCTCCTAAAGATAATAGTGAAATTAAGAAGCAAATAGATGAGTTGTTAAATGCTGGAATTATTAAACCTTCTTGCAGTCCTTTTGCTACTCCTGTAACTTTAGCTTATAAGCATGATGAGCAGGAAAAACTAGATTGTGTATTGATTACAGAAAGCTTAATCAAATTACAAAAACTGATTCCGAGCTAATTCCTAGAATTGATGCTGTATTACTGTATTAGATCAATTAACAAATGCAAAAATTTTCTCTACATTGGATTTAGCATCAGGCTATTGGCATATAAAAGATACTGGAAAATTAGCATTTACTACAAATTTTGGACTTTATGAGTTTACTAAACTACCTTTTGATTGGAAGAATTCCCCAATTATTTTTCAAAGAGCTTTTAGGCAAATTTTAAACAAATATCAGATTCAATTTGCTTTAAATTATTTTGATGATATTATAGCATTTTCTCCAAATTTTGATGAACATTTAAACCATCTTAAAATAATATTTGATATATGTGAAAAAGAAAATATAAAATTAAAACCATCTAAATGTAATTTTGCTAAAGAAAAAATAAATTTTCTACGATATGACATTCAAGCAGGTAAATACCAGCTCAGTAATGCAAATATAGAGTTTATTAAGAAATTGCCACCCACTAAAAATGTCAAATGCCCCATTCACATGCATTGCTCTTTTGCACAGCTGCTGTTAGCAAGAGGAAAAAAAGGAGACAATGAAAGAGTTTCGTCTTTAAGACCCATTCAGAAGACCACCGTCTTCCTTCCCTTTACACCTAAGCCTCGGTGAACAATCATGTCTCCTAATTGGCAGATTTCTAATACTGTTTACACATTTTTAACATTGTTTACTGTTGGTAATTTTGAATCTGTACTTTCGCAATGGTACCTGAACTTTCGTAAGGTTCCTGAAAAATATTTGCCTTTTTAATTATTATTATTATTTTTATAAGCTTTTATTTAGCTCACTCTTGGTGCTTGTCACTATGGTTAAAAAATGGTCATCGATTTTTAAATTGTTTCCTGATAAGATATAGAACTCAAACTTTGTACATACACTGCTTGTGGATGTGTGTCCGCTTTTTTTAGAGGATTAGATTTTTTCAATTTAAGTTGAAACGATTTTTGCAAATATTAACAAAAAAGAGAATCTCAGAATATTATAGTTTGCATCATAACACACTGTGGAGGAAAAAATATTAAATGAAATTTTTAGTGTAATTTTTTTTTAATATTTTGGGAGAATTTTTGAAAATTGTCCATATTTTTAGACTTTTTGACGCCCATTAATTTTAAAATTTGATATCTAAAAATATATTGGTTACAAACTTCCAACATTTTACAGCTTATAAACTTTTCGCATTTTAAAAAAAAATTATAAGGAAATTAACTGGATAATTTTTTTTTTCAATTTTTTGAAGATATGCATGAAGCAGAATAGGAAATATTGGTCTTCTTGGGCACATTCAAAACATCGGTTTCAAGTAATAATTCATTATACCACACTATTTTTATGACATTATTTACTATATAAGTTGTCATGTTGTTAGTCAGCGTGACTTAGAGATATTTGCTGAGTTACTTTCTCTTAAGATGCTTTTGCATTCCGTTGTGTTAACGTCTTTTAGATGAAGCATAACTACTGATTATATTTAGTGATATTCTAAACACTGTACGAGTATTTCTGTGGAGAAAATTCCAGAATTTGAAGTGTTTCTGTTGATAAAATAAATTAATTAAGCTATCATCGGATTTGAGTGCAATGACAATCATTTACGAACTTATATCAATCTACTAAAACCAGTACACACGCAACAATATTATAACTAATAATGTTAAAATTTTTTGAACGTGTTTACAAACAAAAACGGTAAAGAAAAATTCTGCTCCCATTTATGATTTTTGCAATTTTCTGGGCCAAATAAGATTTTAAAAAAAAAGGTTTGTAATTTGTGTTTATATTTACTAATGGAATAAATAGCACTAGGTTGATTTATTATATGTGTGTGTATTAAAATTCAGTAATAAAAGTTTAAAGATTGAAATGATTTTAAATGTCTATTTAGACAGTTGTATCTTTAAAACTGCAAATGCCAATGAAAACCTTTTGCATTTTTTGATAAATCCTTTTATTAAAGTCCTAAAAATATACAGGTATGGACTAAATTATTTATTATTTATGCTTATTTAAAATTATAACTTTATAGAAACAAGGATGGATTTGCAAAACACTGAAAGAAATTATTTGAAATGAACTGAGACTGAGATCATATTTTTTTTTAAAGATTTTAGTGAAAGTGTATTTATTTTTTTCTCAAACTAATTCATTAATTGCAAAATCATTCCTTGAAGTTATTAAGAACACGTAATGAAAACGGGGGGAGACATTGAAATTGTAAGGAGAAGAAAAAAACATATTAATTGTAAATTTTTCTTCAAAAATAAATTAAAAAATTCTAGCAAAAATGTTTTTTCAGCTTAAAATTATTTGTCTCAAAAAACCTTTAATAATATTCAAAAATAGATGAAAATGCTTAAATTTTTTTAAAAAAATCATTAAAGGTACCGAGTCCCTTGTCGCGTTGAAGCGATATGCATTGTCTTAACTTTATTTTTAATTTGTATTCCAGAAACCTAGCATCAGATAACCTTTCAGTTATTGTCTATATTCCGTATCTGTACATCTATATAATTTTGTGGGGGGGGGGTATCACATCCCCAGATATCATCAGCGCGATGTTTCGCTGACAGTCACAAGTGTAACAAATTAGTGAACCGTGGTATAGTAGGAAATCTCCTCATTTGCCTGCTCCGAGAGGTAAGGAACATTAAGAAGTTTACTACAATTCGGCAAGGCAGTAATGCTTGTTCCTGTGAACGGGATGTTGGAAGAACCGGTGTCCCACGGCGAAAAGCCTTTGTGACGGAGAAAGAGTTGAAGCATTTTTAGGAAGATTAATGTATATATAATTTATTCA